TATTTGAGATGTGCTATTATTCCAGTCTGACTAGAAGTTAGCATCATTCTATCCATGAACTCTCAGTTCATTTTCTCCATATAAAATCTTCTCGAGATTTTATCTGTATAGATTGGGATGAGTTAAGCAATCTTCTGGATCTATCTCTATAGATCAACTTGCTTCTCCCACATCCATCACGGAGAAATTATTTGACAACCATAATTTCAACAATTGAAATATAGAGACGTCGTTTCCTATAATATGTCTCATACATATAATATCAGGAATGCGACAATGCTCCCACTATCTTCAGAATTCAAATTTCTACAGTTGCTTCTGAATCTGCATTCTCAACTGGAGGTCGAATACTTGATTCCTTTAGAAGTTTATTAGGTGCAAGGATGGTTGAGGCTTGTTTATGCGGAAAGAATGGTTGCAAATTAAAAATGAACATATAGTGCTGCGCCAATATTTAGATGAAGTTGAAGCATTTGATGATTCAATAAAAGTTGTGGCGGTGATTTATATTTTCTATTACCATATTTTTAAAGATTCTCTTATCTATCTAGTATCCAATACTATGATGATGTAACGTATGCATTTGTTTGACAATGGAGACTATGAATCATGTGTGACAACAATTGATATTTGAATATATGTGAGAATCTGAATTCGTAACAATATACAACGGTAAGCTTGTATAATTGTTATGTTTAGATATTATAAATAATTGATTTATTATTATGGTTGATTATTCTCTCTGTCTAATCAGTAGTTTCGTTTTTCACATATGATGATCACGAGGTTTTGTTGAACATTATTATGTTTTTTGGATTTTATATTTAGTTTAGTAGACTTGTATTATAACGTTATTGTAACGTTTTAGCCTAAAATGGCAAATAAAAAACTATATTTTATTTTATTGTGATTTCACTTCGATTTAGTTGGTATTTAAATTTATAGTATATATATTTAGTTTGTTTTAGATTTATTGCTAGTAAGATATAATTATATATTGAATTCAATGAATTAATATTATAAAAGTAGACCGACAAAAAATATACGACGAAATCGGCGGTTTAAAACCGGACCAAACCGTTAGGTTTAGGTTTGAGTTTTTTTCAAACTGTTCAAAATGGTTTGGTTTAGGTTTGAGTTTTTTTCTCAAACTTGTTTAAACGGTTTGGTTTGAAAATTTGTCAAAAAATAGTAAAATCGAATCGCTTACACCCCTAGGAAAAAGTTTTCTATGAAAAATTTGTACCATCAAACATGTGAAAAGATGGAAAATATCAACAGACCTTCAAATTTTATCTAAATTCTTATTGAATAAAAAATTAATAAATTAAAGTCAAATAATTCTTAAAAAAAAAAATTTAATAAAACTCCCTGGACGCGCATTACAATCAACTTGTTGACGTTAAGTCTTTTGTCAGCCTCTTGTGTCATGTCCCTTCACAGCCACATAAATTTTAAGGAAATTGTACAATGGAGGTCTCCAAACTTTTATAAAGAAATTGCACCGCGGTCTAAACCTTTAAATTATAGAAAAAAAGGTCCTAAACCTTTAAAAAATATGTGCTAAACCTTTGGACAACTTTCATAAAAAAAAAAAAAATAATGAGAACAAACACAACTTTCACCGTAATTTTGTTCCAAAAATCTTCAAGAAGGACATTAACTTAACCCTAGAAAAGATTTCTCCGATGTGCTCCGAGAAAGCTCGATAACCTACAAAAGGGATTGGAGAACACTCTCTTGTTTCCATTCGGGTGTTGTAATCAATTCGTGGAGGATAAAAGAATATAGGTATACGTATGAAAAAAGTAGGAAAATTAATGCCACAGTACCTGTCTTCACTCGTATCAATACACAATTCTACTAGATGACAAATTTTGTTGGGAGAGTTGGACACATTACGTAATATTATCTGAGCAAAATCACGCTGCAATTGTTTTTATTGATAACTGGATAAGGGTAGTTCTTTTTTAGGATAGTTGTCGAGTCTCGAGTTTGTCTCGGTAGACATTCAAGGTCGAGGACTAAATGTTCATCTATCTATGTCACATTATACAATTAATTTTCTTGATTATAAAAATCTCTAATTATAATTTTACCAACAAACGATGACGACATACTCTTCACGTCGAAACTACTAGGAGAATTCAAAAAATATCACATTATATACTACAACATAAGAAATTAATTAACATTAAACAACAATTTCGTGTGTCTCTGTGTGTGAGAATCAATATAGAGAACATGGTATTATCGCTGGCATAACAAATCCTGAACTTCTTGGCTTGTCAAATTAAGATTCATGGTACAGTTCATCCCTGCAATTCTATGCCGTTTGAGGATATTCAAAAGTCGCACTTCACCTTTCAACTTTGCATGACTGCTCAACTTCACCAAACCATAATCAATATCACTGCTCAAATTGAAATTATAATCTGATAATAACTTATTTGCCCTTACTTGCAAACTCATATTCATTCTCTTCCTCTCTCGACCCTCAACTCGCCCTCCATAAATATTTGCCATCCCAATCGTTATATTTCGATATAACAACGTTGCACTGCTGTTCTGAAATTTGAAGGACCCGAAATTTTTGTTGTATACTTGAATTTCCGAGACCATAGTCATGTTTAATGAAGCCAGAGGGGCAGTTTCGTAGTGTAGATTTTGTGTGGTGATATGAGATATGTGAACTTTAGGGGACTTGAAGGGTAACACGACTGATCCGAAAACGAAGAGCATTATGCTATGAAACACGACTATGATTAAGATGTAAACCAAACATTTGCTACTTTTTTGCTGGTTTTTTGGTAGATTATGGGATTTGCTTTTTGCTAATGGATTTAGATGGCTTTCTCGATCAGCCATGTTTATGGAGAAGATCTTTTTAGAGTGAGGAACTCTTAGGGTTTGTGAGAGAGAGAGGGAGATTGTATGAAGGAAATAAAGGGTTACAAATTACAACTTATAAATTATCATGCTTACGCGTCCGTAACATATTTAGTAGTAAGTTGAATTAAACAAATTTTATGTGCATTTCTTCTTATTCTCTTGAAGTGCAACTTGAGATGATGTTATTTCGAACATTTAATAAAATGGGGCCATGCATGATTAATTGAACAACTGTAGTATTCACAAATGTTACCATCATTTTTCCATTGTTTTGTTGAATTTTATTGTATTCCATTGTTGAATGCAAAGGTCTATCAATTTATAGATAGGTGTGATATTATTAAACAAGAAATTAAAGCATTAATTATCTGACGCCTTCTTTAATAGGACTTCAGATATTGTGGCAATGGTTCGAGTCGAGTCGTCCACGAGCCTATAACCAACTCATTTTCAACAAGCTTAAAAACGAGTCGGCTCATAAAAAAAAGAGTCATAATAATGGAACATTAATGATGTGACAATTCATTATTCCTCCGCTTTTCACAAATTGATATTAGAACATTCCAGTTCACAACAACAAAGGCGTCTATTCAAATATACTCCCCTTGCTGAATGATAATGTCACATTCCGTGGCTTAGAAGTTGAACTGAAAGTATGCACAAAAGAAAATTACGATCATCGAGTTGGGATACATGTTCAAATGCATGCATATACCTCGTCCCTGTTGACTCGGCAACTTATGTTCGACCTGTGCCATGCCTCCTATTTGATCGGGGCTGGCAGCTTGATACACGCGCTTCTTTCCTTTATCGGAAGTAATTGGCTTGTACATCACTTGCATTTCATATACTCGATAACTTTGGTGGACAAGTTAATCGACACAGTACATTTCACATCCACGGACTTGTTTTTCTTCATCACCAACCTCAATTTGACCTTTCCTCTCAACTCGGCCTTACTTGTTAAAGTCAAGACTCCTCTTAGGCGGCTAAGCAACTGGTTTCATCGTTCTGTTGGTCAACTCCTATATCACCTACGAGGACAACGTGTGAAATTGTTGATAATTTGACTTGTCGAAAATCAAGACTTATCTTGTTGGATTATTTATCAGTAAAGTTAGTTCAACATAGTTTTCATTTTATCAGTTCGAAATTTGAACAATCACCCTTCAATGACAGGCCAGCATACTCGTTGTCCAAGTTGTTTCACTTGAAATTCTTAAACACCAGCACAGGTCAAAAGCAAAAATTAACTTCATAGAGTCGGACTATAATTCTAAATAATTTTTTAATATATATAAAAAACAGAACTGTAATTTAGACCAAAACAAATCTACATAAATAATGAAATCAAACATAGAAAGTACACAAGATTATTCATAAATAATACATAAAATGAATATGCACATATATTCATCATTTGCACATCAAACCCTGAACCTGTCTAGTTCCTAAATTGATAGCCCAATCACAGTTCATTTCACCAGATTTCTTCTTCTTAATAACCTTCATCAAATGAACCTTCCCACTCAACTTTGCACGGCTACTCAACCTTAAAATCCCAGAATTCATATCATTTCCAAGATTTGTATCCCCAGAAAGCCTATCAGTACTTACAGCAACTGAAATGTTAAATTTCTGTGTTTTTCGCGCTTTGGTACGTCCCCGGGGGATCACAGCCTCTCCAACAGGCATGCCATTGTATAAGATAGATAGTGTACTGTTATCATACTTGAAGTGCCCAAAATTTGTGTTTTTCACAGTAATTTGTGTTAGCAATTGCATGTTGATTGAAGGCGAGGTTGCGTTGTTGGAATTGAAACTTTCGACCACCATTGCATTGAACCTGACCTTAGGACTTCTGATTTTCATGACGGTTAGAGCAAATACAAGTATGATCGCGGTTTGGAACACGATGAATGCTGCAATACATGTAAAGCATTTTCTTTTACTTCTTCCCTCGCCCTTCGACATGGCTAAGTTTAGTTGATACTTGAAGAGGATCGACCCAAATAACAAGAGATATGACTATGCCTGGAAATTGGGTTTTGTGGGTTTAAGAGATGATGGAGAATTGAGTTTAATTTGTGTATATATATAAGAAGAAGAAGTGTACCTAACGAACATATAATAATTGCATGTGGACACAGTGTGTGTTACCTTTTCAAACTTTGTTTGCGAAGCCAAAGCGTGTTTAGTGGACTTTGAATATGTGACAAAGTGAAAGAAGGTTCCACTATGCGAGTGTATACAAGATAAGCCTTCTAGTTGATAAAAGTGGGTGGAACTCGTTCAATTTAACAGAAGTTTTCGTATGTTTGAAAATCGAACTACATTAGAGATATTTAGTACCTCTGTTCAACAAACTCATTTTTTGGCAATTCATGTACGACTCTAAGCAGTTTGACAATGACCGGATTTGCAAGTTGGCTCACGTGAAGTCTTGAGCATCGCGAGAGGCCAAATATCTTAATTCAAGTTTTGTCGATCCGTGAACAGTTAAAAAAGCAATTTAGATAAACTAATCAAAGTTGAACGTGCATTGTACGTTATTTTGAAATACTTTATACTATATTTGGTAAAATTAATTACTAATACATGAATTTAAACACCCATTAAAATTCTTATATATATGTATATAAATAAATTCATGTATAATAATTCTATATTAATTAAAATTCTTATATATATGAATATAAATAAATTCATGTATAATAATTCTATATTCATGTAGATCAAGATTCTTTGAGTTTAGATTAACATAAATATTAATTAATTGAAAATTAGTAACACGGAATTCATACAAGACAAGAATTTTATAATATTTATTCAACATTGAAAAACGAAAAGTAAAAGATTATTGAAATAATTAAATTGTAATATGGTTAAAATCGTTCAAAATGATTCTCACTTGATATGATATTTAATATATTATAGATAAATTTGTTCCTGGCTTCAATATAGATATTAAAATTTAAGTGGAACGGTTCAATATATTAAGAGTTTAAAATCGAATATTTACTATTTTGAAAAATTCTAAAGCTCGATGTATTTTTGTTTCAATTAAAATTATAATAAATTTAAATTTTAAATAATCAAATTAACTATTTGGAGCTTCTGTAGTCATATGATCGTGTGAAGTGGGTTCCACTTCTAGAAGATATAACGAATTTAACGTGTAAACAGTTAAATGTGGATATATTTAATATATTATACGCGTAACGTATGAATGAAAACATCATCGGAAGATCCAAAAAACTTGCACAAACATACAAGGTTTTCGAAGTTGTGTTGACGTATTAAACTCAATTGTCAATAAGGGAAAAGATTTGCATAGAAAATATTTTGCAGGGAAAATGATTTCAAGTGTGTTTGATTGGTATAATTTTCCACCCGAAAAATTTTTAAATTTTCTATTCGTTTGGCTTTGTTTTACATGAAAATTGTCCATTAAAGTAATATTTTTTTCCACAATTGGTTATAAAATTTGTTTCCATTGCNGAAATACTTTATACTATATTTGGTAAAATTAATTACTAATACATGAATTTAAACACCCATTAAAATTCTTATATATATGAATAGAAATAAATTCATTTATAATAATTCTATATTCATGTAGATCAAGATTCTTTAAGTTTAGATTAATGTAAATGTTAATTAATTGAAAATTAGTAACACAGAATTCATACAAGACAAGAATTTTATAGTATTTATTCAACATTGAAAAACGAAAAGTAAAATATTATTGAAATAATTAAATTATAATATGGTTAAAATCGTTCAAAAATGATTCTCACTCGATATGATATTTAATATATTATAGATAAATTTGTTCCTGGCTTCAATATAGATATTAAAATTTAAATGGAACGGTTCAATATATTAAGAGTTTAAAATCTAATATTTACTAGTTTAAAAAAATTCTAAAGCTAGATGTATTTTTGTTTCAATTAAAATTAAATAAATTTAAATTTTAAATAATCAAATTAACTATTTGGAGTTTCTGTAGTCATATGATCGTTAAGTAATATGTGAAGTGGGTTCCACTTCTAGAAGATATAACGAATTTAACGTGTAAACAGTAAAATGTGGATATATTTAATATATTGTACGCGTAACGTATGAATGAAAACATCCTCGGAAGATCCAAAAAACTTGCACAAACATACAAGGTTTTCGAAGTTGTGTTGACGTATTAAACTCAATTGTCAATTCACCATCACCTCTAAAAGCCCCAAGTCGTGTTACATACAAGTCAAGGCTCAATTCACACTAAATTTTACAAAAATAACACTTTTAAAAGAAATTACGTCTCTAATTATAAATTTACAGAAAAAAAAACTTATCTATTCCAACAAGTCGTGGTACATACAAGTTTATGCGATAACTAAGTATCAATAATTTATAGGATACATTTAGGGTCCGTTTGATAGCCTAGAAAATGGGTGGAAAATGAAAACATTTTCTAACTTTATTCAATTAAGGGTATTTGATAGCACAAATTTTCCGACAAAATGTTTTCCACATTTTTCTAGGTACAATCATTTGATGCACAAAAGCTTGATTTTGTTTTCCCACCTATTTGGTGAAAAAACATTTTCCACATTTTTTTTTCAATGGGAACAAATTTTAGATACAATGGTAAAAAAAAAAATCATTTTTATTGACAACTTCCATGCAAAACAAAGTCAAACGAATGATATTCGGTATGGTAAATTTTTTTTTTTACAAGTGAAACAAATTTTAGACCCAATGGTAGAAAAATTTATCACTTTAATGGACACCAAACTTTCAACATTTTCCATGAAAAATTATACTAATCAAATACAATTAATTACAATTTTTAGTAAAACATTTTCTAGGAAAATCAATTTCCTGTAAAACATTTTCTTTCCACCCTTGCAATCAAACGGGCCTTAGAGCCCATATGAAAAGTTTTAGATTTGTGTGTAATATTATTTTATTGGGAGAATGTGTGGTTGAAATGAAGATAGAGAAAAAAATGATAATGAGATGAAAATGAGTGCCAAACAGGGGCTGAATCACAAGGAATTGAATTGCCTAAAATTTGTTTTATTGAGAATTGTGTTTGACTAACACAATTTTCCACCTGAAAAATGTTGAAAGTTTAGTGTCTGTTTGGTTTCGTTTTTCATGAAAATTGTCCATTAAAGTGATAATTTTTTATATTATTGGGTCTAGAATTTGTTACAATTGCCAAAAAAAAATTAAATTTTTTTTTATCATACCGAATATCATTCATTTGTCTTTGTTTTGCATGAAAATTGTTAATAAAAGTGATAATTTTTTTTTACCATTGTGTCTAGAATTTTTTACAATTACCAAAAAAAAAAAAAGGAAGTAACCTAAAAATAATTTGTGGAAATTGGTTTTTCACAAAACAAATGAATGTGACAGACAAAAGCAAGAAAATGAATTTCATGGAAAAAAAAGACATCAAACAAGCTAAAAGTGGGAAATGAAATTTATGGCATGTTTGATACCATGGATTTTCCATGGAAAATTTTCCATCTTTATGAGTGTTTGATGGCACAAAAGTTCCATGGAAATGATTTTCCACAAACACCTCACACGTGCACATTTTCTCATTTTTGCTTGAATTGGTTTTCCTACATTTTTTGTGGGAAAATGAAATTCCACCTTTTTTTTTGTTTTGGCAATTGAAACAATTTTTATAACCAATTGTAAAAAAAATTTCATTTTAATGGACAATTTCCATATAAAACAAGTCAACCGAACACTAAACTTTGATTAAAAAATAATTTTCGAGCAATTTTTTTTTTTTTTTACTTTTTGGCAATGGTAACAAATTTTATAACCAATTGTTAAAAAAAATTACTTTGATGGACAATTTCCATGTAAAATAAAGCCAAACGTGAACAAAAAAATCCAAGATTTCAAAAAAAATTCGGGTGAAAAATTATACCAATTAAACACACTTAATTAACAATTCCCTACAAAACAATTTCTAGACATTTACTTTCACTGAAATTCATTTTCTTTCCACCCATTTTTCACCATTGCAATCAAACAGACCCTTAGATTCCATTTTCCATGGAAAAGATTGGCCAATCAAACAGGTCCTTAAGGTGTATTTGATGGATATTATTGAGAAAATAATATATTTTAAATAGTGATATGATATGAAATATGTGGTTAAAAAGTAAGAAAAAGTTATTAATGTGATGGAAAATATTAATTTATTGCAAAATGTGTAGTTGAAAATAAATTTTGAAATAATGTAATTTGAAAGAATGTGTACCAAGTAATCAAACAGGGCTCAATAGGATTCATCTCTCTTATTTTCACTGCAATTACCACACACGCTCTCTCTCTCTCTCTCTCTCTCTCACACATATCATTATTTATGCATAATTAGCTAAAAATAATGTTTACTATCTTAAATTGTAATTTGTGGTAATAATTGGTTCTTGAAGCCTAAGCATTGAATCCTCCCTCCCATTAAGCCATGTGAGAGTGATTGGAAGGTTGTGGTTAGGTTTGGCAACCCAATTATTTCACATGTTGATGGATTATTTTAACTGCAAATTGTTACCAATATAAGATTCTATTGTTAGGGCTATGAGCAATCAAGTAAAGAGCAAACTCCCTTCCCCTTTGAAAACTTAAAATAAGTCAAATTTATAGATTATTCAACATAGTTTTGAAACTAAGAAATCACTTTCAAGTTTATTTAAATAATTTTTTGAAAGTATTTTATCTAATTAAAAGAGTTTTTAGAGAAAAATAGTACAAAGATATTTCTTCTTAACAATAAGATGAATTATTATCTAGTGAATATTGGTCAACACAATGTGTGAGAGAGAGTAGATTGGAGCAAGAGGGAAAACTTAGAAGATATTTTTAGGGTAATTAGCACATAACGTCCCCAATTTTCACTGTTATTGTGGAAAATGTCCATACATTTTATTTTTGACATTTTCACACTTATTTTCACATTTCATTGCGCAAAAGTTCATTTTTATCCATTTTCTCAATTAAAAATTGTGAAATGACGAAAATACCCTTCCATTTAAATAAAACAAAAGTAAAAAAATTAATTGCAAACATAGTCCCAACTTTTTTGAAAAGCGCAAATGAGTCCCAAATAAATTATTATTGTCCATACCTTTCACTATTATTGCGAAAAATGTCCATACCTTTTATTTTTTTGATCATTTTCTCCCTTAATTGGAGATCTGTGAAAATGTGACAAGTTAACAATAAAAACAAAGTCTTATTTTTTCATTTTTAAAATTTTATAAAAATAAAAAATGTGTTGCTCTTTCCAAGGTGGAGACAGTCCAATTGAAATCTTCTCTCATTTTCACAAAAGAGAAATGTTTTTATACAAGTACAAATAAGTAATAAGGCCTAATCACTTATTGTCTATTACTTTAAAGACATGTTTAAATTATGAAAAATTTATTATTATCCCTCTTTTTAATATCTGTGACAAAAATTATGTATAATTCAAATAAATATTTAGATAAAAAAATTTAGTGAAATAAATTATTTTATCGACTTTGATCTCATTTTTATCAATTTTTAAAACATCCAAAACAAGCACTTAATACGAGCTTTAATAAATATTAACATCAATTGATAATTTATGTGGCTACATAAAAAATAACTCAAATCTTGGTATTTTTCAAAGTTTGAATGAGTCAAATTAAAAGCCAGAAACCATACCCTACTACCTACTAGTAGTGGTTTGACTTTGACTTAAAAGTAATATTTATTTACTTTATTTACCTTACTGCCTGGCTCTTCTTTTTGTCTTCCTCTGAAGAATTTACTGCCTTTTCTTGTGATGGATCAACTCGCCGAACGTGGTAAAACGAATGGTACCAGTTCTGAAAAAGGTAAAAATGTAATGTTCTGAAAAAGGTAAAAATGTAATGTTCTGAAAAAGGTAAAAATGGTGGTAAAAAAAATGTACGAGGAATTAGTTACCTCAGGAGACATTGAATGATCGCTTGCAGTGTAAAATGGCACCATTAATCCCATCCTGCTGCTGCAACAGCGAGTCATCCCGCCGGCATGAAGACATATTCGTCGGGGGATCCGTCGCATGCGCCGACACCGACGATTCAGACCGGTTTTTCCCAAAGTGTTTAAGCACCACTTTAAGCCCTGCTTGCAGATTATTCCCTTGTTTCTGCCTTTTTACATTACTCAATGCCGCCCCTTCTCCTCCTTTCTCCGTCGCCGTAAAAGGCAGCGTTGGTGCTGCACCACCCTTTGTTTCACCGCCCCTTCTCCTCCTTTCTCCGTCCCCGGAAAACGCAGCGGTGGTGCTGCACCACCCTTTGTTTCTCCTCCGGGGAAGCTTAAATGACCAGCAATCTTCAACTTTTCTCCATAACGCTTCGAAACACGGATATATGAAGGCTTCACCATTTTCAGATACTTCTGTACTGTCTCTTTAGTTAATTTTTTTTCATTTGAGTCCTTATCCTCCACTTCATTTTCATGTTCCCCGCCATTCTTATTACCCTTTGAGCTACTATCTCTGGCGAACAAAGAGAAAAGTGGGACTTCTTCGACCTTAAACTTCATGAAGAAAAACTTGTCACCTTGTATTTTATTCTGATCATCTTTACCATTTTCGACATTTTCTTGAGATTTTGGGGGGCTGTTACCCTCATTTTTCTCTGATTTTGATTTCTTTAGCTTCAAAAGAAGAACCCGGAATTTCGTGGCTGATTTTGCTAAGACCGCAGGCAATTTGGAGTTATTTTCAGAAGAATTCAACAAATTGCTTGAAGGCTCAACGGGAAGCAAACGGCCTTTGAAGAAGAGATCATCAGAAGGAGATAAAATTACATTCTGATCCTTGCTCAGCTCAAACTTCAACTCTCCTTCATCATAATTTTCATCCTCTAATTCTTCAAATTCATCTTCATTTTCATGGATTTTTGCTTCTTCTTCCTCTTCTGGGAGGGCAAATTCCAGGTCAAAGTATGGTTCATCATTGGCGGCATCGTCAGTGTCTGATGAAGGCGGCTTCAAGGAGGCTGTGGTGGCGGTTCTTGGTTTGGAAGTCAAGTTGTCAGTGAAGAAACTAGTACCAGAGCCGGCACTTCCGCGGCGGAGTTTGAGTAAAGTGAAGGCTTCCATTGTTGGCAGAGCAAGTTTACAAAATGTTAGAACTTTAAAGTGATGGAAAACCTTTTTAGTAGAAAGATGCAAAGAAAATACAAATTGTATATTTTTCAACAAAAAAAGTAAAAAATATTTAAATTTACATCTTCTTTTACATATACAAGATGCAAAAAGTGAATTTAAATATTTTAATTGGAGCAAATTTTAAATCTAGATCTATCGACGTGTAAATAAAAATGCAAAGGTAATTTTGAAAATATCAATTTACATCCAATTTTACACCACAAATGGATATGCTCTAAGTATAAACCTAATACCCAAAAAAAAAAAAAAAGTTGAAAAAAATACAACAATAAACAAATGTTAGGACTTTCATTGGTAATAAATCCAATAAAATCTTAACGTCTCATTACAATTATATGAAGTATCAAAAAATTTGTTTTCTCCTTTTCGACACACGTAAGAGATTCTAGCACGATTTAATGGAGTTTTGGCACCTCAAAATTGTAGTAAGATATCAAGAATTTATCAAACTGACAATAAGAGTAAAATTTGAAATTAACCTATATTTTGACGTTAGAACTTTGCAAGAAAAATGAATTCAAAAGATTTTTTTTTTTTTGTAATGCTCAAGAAAATTACTGCTACATCTATAGGAGTAATGTTATTTGTACATCATGATTTACATATTGATGTACAGAATGATGATGTGGATTATATTAATTGAATTCTCACTTATTTTTTTTCCTTGTTTTTATCTCTCTCCTCTGATTCATATTTTTTTTCTTATTCTATACATCAATATATAAATTATGATGTACAAATAGCATTTTACATCTATAATTAAAATGAAAAAAAATAATTCTTAAAACTATCGAATTTACAACTAGCATAATTCTTATATTAAACCCAAAAATAAGTAAAATTGCTTATTATTATTATTATTACCACAAATGGAGGGGCGAAATTGAGTGGGGTTTATTGTTTGTATTATTTCTGTATCATGTGATGTGCCAGTCTGAGCGTCAGTCCGTAGCTGGTAGCGTAATGGAACCACCACTGATTTATTTATCACAACATGCACTGACGAAGACCTCACTTTTAATTATTTGGGTATAATTTACAATTTGATAAATTAAATTGAAAATAATAAATCCATGTTTTTTTTTTAAAATGCAATTCATTCATCATCAAAGTGGGAAGATACGGATACAAAGAAGAAATTCCTCCAACACAATTCTCTACTCAGAGAGTTTAAGTATATCCTATGCAGAAGCATAATCTACAACAATAGTCATCCTAGGCACAAAAAGCAGACAAAGAGTGGAAAAACCAAACATGCTCAATTCCAACATCAACCAAAGCTACAACCTCTAAACCGGCAATAAAATAGCCCCCAAACATCCTTCTTGTTCTGCGCAAACAACATGGGGAGCAGATATGTCATAAGCTCATCCATGCAATGAAAGTGGCCGGATGATTCCCGACGAGAAAAACCCGATTGGACTTCCTAGGCTTGGACAAGACCCGCCGAAATCACATCCGGTATCTACCCCCTTTTACGAAGCCACGCTCCATCTTGTAGCTCCAAAACAATCCCACTGGCCGAAAACTCCTAATCCCAACCATATGCCACAAACTCTGTATCAACATAAAGCACCTATCCCAAACTCGAACCAATGTCAAATGGGCTACCAAACGTCGAACAGATCGAGCAAATCCTTCACCAAAACAGAACCTCTACTAACATGAAGTTGAAGAGGAAAAGCTAGGTTTTCAAGAAAATCTAGAGAGAAACCTTACCTTTGCTTGCAAAGGAAGGACGGGGAAAAGAGAAGAAAAATAACAAGAAGAAAAGAAACTGATAAAGTTGGCTGAAGTGCCGCTCGCCGAAAGCGGATCGAACCTTCTTTTTGCGACGAGAGTGTTTTAGAGAGACGAGAAGTTTTTGTAATTTCTCAATAATAAATCCATGTTTGAACCCTACTTTTTAAAAAACTCATTTTTCAAAATTTATTTTCAACTACATATTCTCTCATAAAATAAATTTACTCATACTTTTTTTTAACCATACATTCACCAAAAAAATCAACATTCCAAAGTACATTTACTCCAAAAAAGGCCCTCAAACAGGGGATAAAATTTTCTAATCGAGGTTCTATAAATATTAATATGTCTTCCTTTACAAAAATTAGGATGAATATATTGTCTTCAATCGGTATTTAAAAAAAAAATTACAGATGTTTATATGAAAGTGAGAATAAAATTGACAATACGAACCAATGACAATCTTGTTTGCCCCAATTTTTTGGTTAATAGATTTTGAAATATTGATTTTTTAGATAATGTGTAGTTAAAAAGTAGGAAAAATTGGATTTACGTGTAAACTTATTTTTTTTGGAGAATCAAGAATATATGGTTGAAAGTGAATTTTGAAAAATAAAAGTTTTGAGAAAATGAGGCTCAAAATAATAATATACTGACATTGGAAACAACAAACGTGAAACAAAATAAGCACGATTTCAAATTAGACCCTCGACTAAATTTAGTAAATAATTATATTTAATATTAAACGCCCCTATATAGATAATCTGGATCCTTGACACCTAAATTCGACGAGGGTTTAGATAGTACAAACACGTCTACTTAGAATAGAGAAAAATGAATGGACTTTTAAAGTCTAAACACCTGTTTGATGGAGATTAAAATCTTGTTATTTATCTAAATTAAAGTTAATAATTAATTTTAACTATATATTTAATGAGATTCTTAAGTTTTAAACCATATTTTTATTAACTTTTATCAAAATTTGATTTTAATTCCTACCAAACAGGCCCAAAGAAGGTTGTTTCTATTCATAAAGTGATGCACATCGTAAAAATAAATAAGATTAGTAGTCGAACGATAACTTGCCCTTGTTTAGTAGTATTTCAGTCAATTTCTCTTAGCTAGTTAAACAAGAAAATTGTGATTCTTGCGGTTGCGGAGGCCCAATACGTTCGCGGTAGCACAACTAATCCACGCAATGTCCAAATATTGAAGCAAATGACAAATCTAACTCCCTCAAACTTCATATTGAGATTACTCTCTTCAATTTATGGTCACATATGAAATTTGAAAAACTCATTCAAATAGATTTAAACTTTTTATTTAAAAAATTTAACACTTTCCCACTCGAGTTTCATTACTTCCATATTGAAAATTGAGCCATTCTACATATTTTCAAAAATGGCATAAGAAGAGAATTATATTATTAAATGACATACCATGATTATCATCACTATCTAAACACCGCATTATTCCAATATCAAGATTATTGTTTGCGAACCATCGGCTTTGACATTAAGAATCAAGAATTAAGTTCACAATAGAATGGAACCGTTTGATTCTCAAAGAAAACGAGGGCTCACAATTGTTGATTTGGTAGTAAGTTGATATTCTATCTTTAAAAAGAAACAAGCAAGTATTTAACGCAATATTATAATTGCACGATCAATCTTCAATATTAAGTATTGACGTAAAATTATTTATGAATGAATTTGTCAATGCAACAATAGATCAGGGTCCAATATTCGAATTTTCATTTTAGTCTGGTCGGTTCCGTATCTTAAAAAAAAAACTATTTGGTTCCATTATCAAAAAAACAATTGGTTCATAGTTCAGTTCGATTATCTTGAAATCAGAACCAAATGAAACAACGTCCACCCCTAGTCGTGGGTAGAAAACCAATGGGCATCAACTAACTGGAAAATTGCAGCAAGACCTTAAGCTTTTGCAAAACGCGCAAATAGATCCCAAATCATCACAAACATTTCCTACATATATAAAAAGAGTGAGGAGCCTTTGTACTGTAGAAACTAAAGGATAACGAAACGACGCCGTTTTGGGAATGTGTGAGGAGCCCTTTTACTGTACGAACTAAAGGATAACGAAACGACGCCACACAGTTAAGACAGATCTGATCACAGATAGTCACAATAAAGATGAACTTAGACACAAATAATCACAGATAACATGGGCATGTCACAAATAATAACAACCTACGTAGACATGGTCACAACCAATAATAGGTTTCAAACCTGATGACTAGGGGTGGGCAAAGCCCGACCAAACCGCCCAACCTGAACCAACCCGATCGGGTTGGGTCGGTTTTTTGTTGTTTTTGGGCGGGTTTCGGGTATTGGATTATTCTACTGGGTTGGGTTGGGTTGGGTTGGGTTGTGGGTTAAACAAAACAACCCGTCATAACCCGACCCAACCCGACCCTACGAATTAAAAAAAAAACAGATTTTTGGTCAAACCCTAAACTTGGACAGTGGACTTTCATCTCATTTCCCCCCATTTCATTTCCAAGCACAGCCGACTTGCCGGCTTCTCTCTTCCGGATTCGATTTTTCCTCTCTTCATATGTGTGCTTGTGTTTCATTCAGAAGAGAGAGAAAGAGAGAAATTCGACCCTTGTGTTTGTTCTCATATGAGGTTTCAACTATGAAATATGGTGGCAGGAAACATAACCAAAGCTGCACGAAATGCTCTAGAATTGGAGGAAAGAAGATTACTGACTTACAAAGAATTATCTGTGAAAAATGAGGCTATGCGATTGAGCACTAATAAGGTAAATCATTAGAAAAAAGGATGGACTATTGAGTTCTGAAGCCCTAGCATTAGATTGTTTTACCTCTGTAATGATAATTGTGAATATATTTTTGCTACATTCTCCTCATTTTTATGTACTAAAACTTCTCAACATGCAACTATTCATCAAATAAATTTAGACTCTTAGAGCACATAAGGTTGTGACGGGTGGAAATTAGTTACCATGTAAGAAGTTAGTAGCTTTTAGCCTTTACATTATGTAATCAGGGTTTGTTGTTCAGAATTATTGATTTGAGGTATGGATGTGGTTCTACTGGAATCTTACGATAATTTTCTTGCTTATAGATAAACTATTGTTGACAATATGTCTGTTCCAGCAGGATTATCATGGACATGGACAGCATATTGCCAGACGAATCAAAACAATCTCTGCATCAATAGAAAATGTCAGGTTAGTTCTAATTTAGCTAACACCGTGTTAATAGCTTTTACTTTTGGGTCTCCAAAAGCTGAATCTTTCATATTTATATGGGGCTGTCAATACACAACTGGTTTGATATGCAACATTTTGATTCTCTTTGTCCAGAACAAGAGCAAATGACTTAGTAAGAAATGCTAATTAATAGTCCAGAATGTCCCAAATCCATCAGTATCCTAACATCTATTTGGGTCATAAATTGTGCAGGTTGTGTCCCAACCCAACCCGATAATTGGATAGAAATTATCGATATAAACCGACCAACCCAACCCAACCCGACCGACACATAATTGGGTTGGATTGGCTTGGGTTTCAACATTTACATGGGTTGAGTTGGGTTGGATTTCGAACAAACCGATAATGTTGGGTTGGTTTTGGGTTGGGGCAAAAACCNAAAAAAAGTGTATGTCCGACACTAATCTAGACTCAAATAAAAACGCTGCACGTGCAACGCACGTGCAGCCACTAGTGGTAAAATAAGCCTCACAAGAAATATTTTAAAAGGTAAATGATTAATTTCTTTATTTTATATATATATAAAAAAAAGGTCTTGTCCATCGATCCAGTAGCTTCTATTAGATCCACGAAGTAAATTAAAAAAATGAAAAATACAATTGAACACATTCGGCAAAATCGTACTCCTAGATTCCGGGCCCACTTAATTTCAATGGCCCGGATGAGGCTTCCTCTTATTAAACTGCATCACGACTCTTGCAAGATACACACACTCATCTGTTACAAAAACGCTCTCAAATTCTGACACATCACCTTCTCTGCATCTACATAATTTCTGTGAATTTTTCAGGGGTTTGATTATCTACGATGGCTGATCATCACGATGAAGAGAAAAAGGAGGAATCTTTGATGGAGAAAGCGTCGGAAAAATTTCAAGGCCATGATTCATCGTCATCAGACGATGAGGACGTGAAGAAATCTTCTGTTGAGGCAAAGGCTTATCGACTCTTCGGAAGAGAGAAATCTGTTCATAAGGCACTTGGCGGTGGCATACGTATGTAATTATCTCTATCACGAGTTTTACATTTTTGGGGTTTTGTTTCTTTGTGAAATTAAGAAAATTTTTGTTTGGATTTTTTTTTTTTAAATTTATGAAATCCTAATTTTATTTTGTGGGTTTAAAGAATTTTTTTTTTTTAATTTTTTTCGTGATTATCCCTAAAAATTTACGAATTTTTATTTTCTTGTTTCATTTCGGGATCTGAAACTATGCGCCAAATGCTATTTTTTTTTTTGTTTCTGGAATTTTCTCGGTCTGTTAAGGGATTGAATATTTTTTGGATTACGAGTAAAAAGTTATTTCGACTAAGGATTACTTTCAGAAAAAGTAAGTGGAATCAGAATTTCCGAGCACTAAAATGATTGAGTTGAGAATTTTTAGATGTTCAGTTAAAGAAGTTATGCAAATGATTGAGTTGAGAATTTTCTCGTTTGTCAGTGGCTGATGTGTTTCTATGGAGAGACAAGAAGGTTTCAGCCGGAGTATTAGGTGGGGCTACTGCTATATGGGTTCTATTTGATGTTCTCGAATTCAATTTGCTCACTTTAGTCTGTTATGGTTTAATACTTGCCCTGGTAATACTGTTCTTGTGGTCAAATGCTTCCACCTTCATCAAGAAGTAAGCCCGTCTCTTCTGATTTCGAACTACGTCTTTCGTAATATTACGTACATTATATGTATGAATTATACGTTCTGTGTCTGTTTTCTTTTCGGTTAGATCCCCACCCTGTATCCCGGATGTAAATATCCCGGAGAAGCCTGTTCTGAAGTTTGCATCTGCTTTGAGGATTGAGATAAACTGTGCATTTTCAACTCTGAGGGAAATTGCATCAGGAAGAGATTTGAAGAAGTTTCTATCCGTAAGTAGTTTGTCTACTTGAATATGGGAGCAATAACTAACTTGGTCATATCCTCTGCATATTTGGCAAAGCTTGAGATGTTATTACTAAATTTACTTACAAGTTATACTATGTTTGCTTCTCATGTTCTTTATTCTGTTGACACGAAGGTGATTGCTGGCTTGTGGATTTTGTCACTTATAGGGAGTTGCTGCGATTTCTTGACATTGGCGTACACAAGTAATAACTTGTGCCTAACCGTTATGGACATACATTCTATGTTCTGGTTAAGCTTATTAAGGTTCTAACATAGATATTTATTGTTTTTCGAAAATAGGTACTGTATTGCTGTGCACCGTCCCTGTCTTGTATGAGAAATACGAGGACAAGGTAGACTCTTTTGCTGAGAAGGCAATGGCCCAGCTCAAGAAACAGTACGCAGTGTTGAATGAAAAAGTTTTGAGTAAGATCCCGAGAGCGCATTCAAAAGATAAAAAACGTGATTAATCGCTCATTAGGAGGAGCTGTATTGCCATTTATGGGCGCTAGTGGTGTTTTTTCGAGCATGCTTATAATGTTTCAAATTCCGACTCTTTATATGTATATGTAAAGTAATAATTATCTTCTAGGATTACGGTTTAATCGCCAAATGAATTTGGAACAGACGGATTTCAGTGCGAGTGATTGTATGTAATGTGTTTAAATATAATTATAATATGGCGCTCTAGTTATTTTATCTGATTTAATTAACTATATTCTTGGCATTAATCTAGCGTCATCCAATTATCTTTGCCCCTTTGCTTGGCAATCAAAAAATGGAGTTGCTTTAAAAACGAAACTGCAGTGGAAGAAAGTATCGGTGCAGTTGACTTCCCTTTATCGGGATTTTCGGATGTGTTTGATGGATATTACTATGGAAATAGTGTATTTTAAATGGTGACATAGTGATATGATGTGAAATATGTGGTTAAAAGTTAAAAAAAAGTTCTTGATGTGATGAAAAATATTATTTCATTGAAGAATGTGTGGTTGAAAATGAGTTTTGAAAAAATGTGTCAAATAGGGGCTATATGTAATATTATTTTATGGGAAAATGTGTGATTGATAAGAATGGAGAAAAATGAATTATAATTTTAAGAGTACTGATATTCATCCTCGATGGTGCTTCGTACTAGTTTAGGTGTCGAATAAGTGGTATTAAATGATAGATTTATTTAAATACAATGACAAATGAATTACTTAGTTGGACTTATTAAGTGGTTATCTAAATTTGTGTTCTAACACAATTGGTGTTAGACGGCATATTTTAAATTTCAATGGAGTGACTTGATTCGTGATAGTAATACTTTTAATAGCTAAATGGATTCTATTATATTTTGGGAAAAAAATTTCTTGGGAATTGTTTACAAGTCAATAAAGTTATGATGGTTAAAAGCCTAGGGGGTGTGTGAACAATATTATTTTGAAATAGTTGATTGATGGAAAATGTATGATTGAAAAAGAAGATAAAGTTATTGATGTAATAGAAAATATTATTTTATTGTAAAATGTGTGGTTGAAAATGAGTAAAAGAATGAAAATGAAAATTTTAATGTAACTTAAACAATGACCTAGTATTTGAATTCTTTGAAAGTATGGATAGAAAATAATTTTTGAGTGTTTTTGTTTTGAGTAATGCTATTCATCTCCACTGGAGATGAAAACACAGCTTACGTGGAGTTAATGTGACATTAAATGATATGTGAAATTAAATTAAAGAGCAATGCTATTCATTCACTGGGGATGAAAACACAGTCTACGTGGCATTAATGTGACATTAAATGATATGTGAAATTAAATGACTTATTTAATTTCACATTTTATTTAACATATCATTTAAAGTCGCATAAACTGTGTTTTCTTTCTCACTGGGAACGAATATCATTTCTATTTTGTTTTTAATTTGTAATCTATTATATTTGTGGAGAAAAACGGTGTAAATTGTAAATAAATAAAAATGGGGTCGGATAGTACTTTCTTGAAATGTGGATAGAAAATGAATTTGTAGAAATAGTTTATAGACAAATAAATAAATAATTGACGGCAATATTGTCGATGGCTAATAACCATTATTCCTTGTCCTTGTCCTTGTCCCAGAAAGGATTTCTGGCGGATCTTGAGAGGCTGTCCGAATTTGGAGAGGTCGGCAACTACTATCCACGTGTACTCATCTTTATCCAAAATGTGTCGATCAATTTACTGATATTTAGCTCCAGTTTGACCAAGATTAAAATCAATATTTTTATCTAAATCAAACTCAACATATCTCATGTAGGACACACTTTTCTACAACATATTTCTTCAACTTTGATCAAAATTTATTAAAAATTTGATTTTATTCTCAAGCAAATAATGGCTTAATTGGTTCACGGCCATGCAGCCGCATGCACTCACTCACTACCTACACCCAGTTGATGATGACGACCACTATATGTACAGCAGTTCACACTTTCTACTAATGATAGAACCTGGTTTGTTTACTCCTAATAGCAGTTCAAAACTTCTTTTTAAAAGATTTCAGTTGTATAACTTCTTGTTCAAAAGTACGCATGATGAGTTCAACTCAACAAGTAAAACTATAGTCAATCACAGATGAGATTAAGATATAAACAAGCAAAACTAAGGATATTGTACAATTACTCCGCCTCTGTTCGAAGATTCAAGAAGCTAGCCAATCCAAAGTAGGGTGCATTCGGTTTGGATCATCAGTCACGTTGTTCTTTTATTTACGGCGTCTAATTGGGGCCAACTCTGGGTTGCCTTTCCTCATCATTGCTACAAACTCATCATAGTTTATCTTCCCATCCTGCCATAAAACAAAAAATTCATTATATACATACAACCGAGCAATACATGAGAAGAATTGTAACTCAATCTAGCTCAAACACCCCTCTTAGAGCATAATTTCCTAACAGGGGGTGTTTTCTTCCTTTCTCCTCTCAAATTCACGAGATATTTCAAGCGAAAAATGTATACTAGATAATAAATCAAATTTAAGTTTCATGGAATTACATGGAGCGACTGATAACCATTGTGCTCAAATGAAACGCAATGATTGAGAGAAACTAAGCCTTTTTTGTCAGCCATGTATGGCTACGCTTAAAAATGGTAAAAGTTACTAACTCTTTTACCAAACAAGTTAGGATTTGTTACTTATTCTTACTTCTGAGTGTGTGCCAAAAGTATAGGCAGCAGGGGGTCAGTGATTTATAAAAAACAATTTAGAAGATAACAAATATCTAGCCAATACAAGTAAACAAGAGAAACCGTACATGATCCGTGTCAACTTCTGCAATGATTTCCTTAATCGTTTTAGCATCCCCCATATTGTATTCCTTTAGGGCATGCTCCAATTCTTCGACCGTGATGTACCTAAAGTTTCGATGCAAGGATCAGAAAGCAACATAATAAGATATACACAATGGTATTTAGGAAGACCATATTTTACCCGCTCTTATCCTTGTCGAAATACTCAAAGGCTTTGAACAAATGGTCTTCTTTATCCACTCGATTCATGTGCATTGTAGCAGTTATAAATTCAATGTAGTCAATCGTTCCATTTCCATCCACGTCAGCCTGGAAATAGTAGAAAGGTGCATTAATACAGTAGCAACAAAGACGATCATCATAATGCCAAAATAGGCACATAAAATCTGTAGGGTTGTCACACTAGAGCCATATAACCTCTCAGAGGAATATATTACCAATAAAATCTTCCCAGGTCAAGAGCATGTTTTACTAAGCTTAAAATGTTAGAAATAATATACTGGTTTTGACACTGAGGTCAAAGTTCTATCAAAATAAGTAACACTTTCTACGTGGAAGTAAGAAAATGGTAAGGTATCCAAAATATTGGAAATCAAGTTGCTTATAAGTTACAAGTAAATTTACATTTTTGTAAAGCTAAGCCAAGGATGTTCTTGGTCTGAATATTGGGTTAGTTTTCAATACGTCCTATGTTCAACCTTTTTGGGAAAACTAAGGTCGGCTGAACTTTGTAAAACACAATTCTACTTTCCTTGTGATCTTGTCTCTCTTCAACACTAAATTCAATACCAATATTTTGTTTATTACATAATTTTTATCACGATTTAACTTCTTTGAAACGAGTCAAAAGAAAAACTACTACATATAAATAACATGTTGTGCATTCCAAAATTTTTATTAACTCAGGTTATTAGGCACTCAAAGTCGTCAAATATCGAATTTCGATAGGTTGGTCCCTTTTTATGAATAATCTGAGCCTAATAACGTGACCATCCGAGATTCCAAATTGCGTGTAACAAAAGTTAATTAATTTTATTTACTTTTGAGTTTTGAAATAAAATAAAACTGGTGAGAGGAATTAATGGTGAAATCTGCATATGTTCCAAAACGAATTTCCAAGAAGTCGAGAACATCAAGGATAAGGAGTTAAAATTGAGGTCAAAGCAATGGGGAAATTAAGGACTAAGATTTAGGAGGAGAAATAGTTCTAGAAAGAGATTTTAGCATGGTTGGCTAAGCTTAAAATGTTTACTTCTAAGTAAATAACTTATATAATTTTTTATTTTTTTTCAAAGTTGGAAATGAATAAGTTACTTATTTTTGACACTAATGTACTCATTCAATTCAATAAAACCTCTGTCAAAGGGTTCAGCCTTGAAGCCAAAAAAGTAGAGATAGAGGCCAGTGTTCTCTATTTACTCATGCAACAAATGAAAATAGATAAAGGCTGATGCTATTAACTGCCTCACTTTTGACTCAGAAGATAAAAAGACTGAAGTTAAAACGAAATGGAGTTGGAACCAAAAGTGAGATAGAGAAAGTACCGCATCCATTAACTGCCTCACTTCTGACTCAGAAAGCTTGGTACCCAATTTTGGTAGACCGGCTTTCAATTCTTCATACGTAATTGTTCCATTGTTATCAGTGTCCATGGATTTGAACATCTCCTTCAATCCCATAATTTCTTCTTCCGATAAATTTTCTGCAATTACCTAGAAACCCCATAACTTGGAATTAACCACGAGCTCGAAAACAAATTGAGCATGTTTGACTAAGCTTTAAAAAGTAAATAAGCAAGTTTTAAAAATATATTTGGTAACTTCAGAAGTTATTCAAATTGAAACCCCCCCCCCCCCCAACACACACACACACACATTTAATAGTAAGATCAGAGTAACGTATTCAAAATTATTTGGTCTCGAGTTACTTATAAGTAACTTTCAATTACTTTTCAGCTTAGCCAACGACATTCATAATTTATCACGAAATTGGAAATTCATTAACATCAGTAAAATACATATACCACACCTTAAGAGCTACTTTTTTAAGCTTGTTCATTGCACGGAACTGCTTCATTCTACTCAATACAGCTATGTCAAGAGGCTTATCGGATGCATCACCATCTTCTCTCATCCATGGATGTTCTGCATTTTCAGTAGTTGAACTTCATTATCTAATTAATTGAATCTCATTGAAATGGT